GGGTATAGGTTATGTGGTTAGTGTATAATGTATTGATGGTTTAGGGTATACAATCAACAACATATACTAACTTAATATTGTTGATTGAGGGTAAAGCTAAGTGTATAGGATATATGCTATTGAGTAAGTTATGATTGAAGTCACAATAATTTTACTAAATTTGATAGCTAATCTTTAATGGTTCAATTTTTAGGATAATTCGAACAATTTTACAAATAACTCGTTTGGCAACAGTTTACTAAAAAGTTAATTGGGCAATGAGTTATTTTGAAATAACTCCTTTTATCACTATGTTTTTTCCAAATACCACACGCCAAATACCATATTTGCATGGTTATACTAAACGAGATACTTTAATCCAATTACTACTGAATTAATACTAAAATATCAAATAAACAATTAACGGTGTCTTTTGGTTGCAAATATTGATATCACCATTACTATTAGCTATAATACTTTACCAATTATGATTAATTACATAACAAGTTTACAAGTCATACAAATTGATTTAACATTTTCACTAGTTTTTTTCAAAAAAATAAAGTATATATATACGAGGTAGAAATAAATTGGTTAAAAAGTTGAGAAAATATTTTAAATTAGTGTAATAAAATGTGTAAGTTGGTAATGAGTAATGAGTTAAGTTACTTGATGCGCTGGCCCGCACAACCCGAAACCCGACCCGCCCGCAACCCGCCCGACCCAAAACCCGATGAACCCGCAACACGATTTGCCCGCAACCCGATTGAATCCGAACCCGATGAACCCGCAACCCGACTAACCCGCAACCCGTTTGAACTCGAACCCGATGAACCCGAACCCGATGAACCCGCAACCCGACTAACCCGCAACCCGTTTGAACCCGAACCCGATTGAACCCAGCCCGAACCCGCCTGAACCCGCCCGATTGACACCTATAGTTAGGAGGGAGAACAATATAGTCAAAATCGCGCTTTAAAACATAAAAACTTACAACTTTACGTTTCTAGGTCACTAAAATGCTTCTACACAAAATTCTATTTTTATAACTAATGTAGTTAAAAACTCCGCTTTAAATTTTAAAAACTTACGATATTACGCTTCTAGATCACCAAAACGTTTCTACATAGAAACTCGCTTTTGACTACATTGAGCGAGAAAATCCAATTATGGCCCATTCTTGGTAATTCGAGTAACTTCTCTATCTATATCGTTTCGGGTTAATCTCCGAGAGAGTGAATTTTATTGATCTCCTAACGGTGGATTGGCAGTAAATCCCCCTAGGTTGGATAGAGCGCTATAAGTTCATCACTATGAATCTTTGGACGAGTGTGATAGGATCCATAGTGTCGTATTGGATAGCACCGTTGGGTTTGCCCATTAGTGGGAATTATCAGTTAGCACCTCAATTGCATTCGTCGCTTGTTCGGTATGCCTCTTCGAGTAGCGCAATTGAGCGGGGTTGGATCCACTCGAGTAGGGGTCCAACCTAGTCTAGTATTCTCCGTGGTAGAGATAATGAGTAAATCAATCTAGGGAAGTAATCAACATCGCCCAAAAGGAGGGATTAGGGGGATTCATGCCTAAGTGAGATCCAAACTTGTAATTAACTAGGATAATGGTTAGGTTAGTTTCAAAATCATTATTCTTGTTTGGCTAGATAACAAAACTTAAGCCGAAGTAAGTTACATCTAGAGACCCGTGGTTCGATAATTTTATTACTTGCTTACCCTATGCTACACCCGGTCGTTGGTTTAATTGGCCTCCGATTGGGAGGTTGTAGTTAGTACGAGCCAAAAACAAAGGGAGAAAACTAAATAGAAACAAGAAAGAAATCCAATAGCTCTCTATCTCCTATTCGTTTTACTCACTGCCTAAATTGCCACTTAGGACCTGAGCACAATGTTTCGGCACTACTGAGCGCATAGACACAATTAATCAAGTGCCTAAAAATACTTTTATAACCCTAAAATTCACATGAGCATCAAATTCTTGATGAAACTCAAATTGTAGTGTTTATGACTCCATATTTTGTACATTTTCCCCTTCTGTCAATGCATATTTAGTATATTTTACTATACTTTTTTATAAAATTTCACAACATTTTACTATGTGATCAATTTGCATAAGATAGACCTTGAGTTTGTTTTGTACTACTTTACTCCTTTTGATGTTATTTTGTAATTTTCAAGGATACAATGTGATTAAGAGGAATATGGAGGACAAGATTACAAACTCAATGGCTCAAACAGAGATTGATTTGGACATCGGATGCTCACTTTACGGCCCAAAGAAGCAGATCTAGTAGTGCAACAAGCTCACCAATCAGCTCAAAATTTAGTGGAGGAGTTACTTTGGCCCACAAGCAACATAACCCATTAAGAAAATCTACTGCAGTGCTGGCCTTCATTGGCCCAAGTCTATGAAATCTTCTAGAAGGTCACTTACCTCGTCCCCAAGTCAAAAAGTCCGAGTCCCGCTAGTCCAAGGATGCTTTTTGGCCTACTTTGAGGAGGAAAACTCCAAAAACCCATCCCTTCCATCTACTATAAATAGTGGTTTAGACTAGAGCCTTAAGACAACTTTTGCACACTCTGTCCTAGTAGGCTCGAGTTAGCTTCCACAAGAGAGGAGAGATTCTATCAGAGCTTCGTGGAGATGCCTTCATCATCGATGGTGGTGTCATTGATCTCTTCTATGTCCAACTAAGTCGACCATTGTTTAGGAATGTGAATTCTATGATGTTTATGTGTTATATCTATGATTTAATGAGATGTTTTGCTCTCTTTTTATCTATGTTATGTGATGCTTATACCATTAGATGCCCTAATCGTGTGATGCTTATGTTATTAGAATATCTTAGCTCTATGATGCCCTAACCATGTGATGCTTATATCACTAATTATGTACTTTTATAGTGTTTCTTATAATATCATCATAGGTTGGATAGGAAACTCAACTTATATGTTATATCATTGTCTCATGTATGTATCTTAGTTGGACGCAATTATGTATGCTTATATTGTATCGATGTTCGATGCCTTAGATCGTCAATGCTATATACTATTACTATGGTTCATAGAGGCCCTAAATAGCTAGTGTTATATCCATACTTCCTTGTTTAATTGATTAGTCTAGTGACATGAAGTGAAATAACGCATTAGATAATTATATTTCCTTTTGCATGTGATGAAAGCTCGATTAGGATGGTCTTAGTGAAAGATATAGGGTCACATGATAGAAGATGCATCAGTGCTTATCATTAATGAGACAACATGCATAATCATCTAGATGAAACTACCTAAACAATGTCTTTTATCTTTGCTTTCTTATTTATTTATTTTGATTTCATTATATAGTATAGTGTCCACCATCTAATAGGGAACTCAACCCATGTTGTTTACTTTTCTTGTATCATCATTTGAAAATAAGTGTTAGTTTTGAGTAGTTATTATCCAAAGACCTTGTAGAATACGAACTTAGACATATTTAGAAAATTTATTACTTCATTTTTTTTGTCATAGATAGGTTGGTAATTGATAATAGATATTACAAGACTCAATGAAACCAGACTCGTCATTCGATACTAATCGATCTGTCGATGAAAGAGTCATAGTAACCACTAGATGGGCAGTTCTGTTACAATCCTAAGAATAAAAGGACAAAACCTAAAATATATTAAAAGGAAGCCACCACCAATCCTCGTGAACTGTTTATCAACTCACCAAAAGCTGAAACCACTTCTCCTGCTAAACAAAATAGAGACAAAGCCCAGACTGGCCCATCAAATAGAGGAACTCATTGAAATATCATAAGAGGATACAAACTTCGGTAGAACAGGCTTCATACACCAACTAGAAAGACAGAACTGAACTCCCAACGCGAACAAAAGAGTCCATGCAAAACAAAACAAAAAAACAAGACCGAGACTAATTCTGGCATATGCGCTAGAAAAAGCCCCAAGTTTATTACTTCAATTACTACTACATATTGAACATCAAGTTTTCGGCGTCATTGCCATGAAACTTATGATAGTATTTGAAGAAGCTAATTGTCTTGTGTTCAGTTTATTTCAAGGTACTACGATTTAGTTTGTTTTAATTTTTTTCATTTGCGAATGCAAATTCAACATTGATGATCGAGTTGTAATTGGACTAAATTTAAGACTTAAGGGTGTGTTTGGATTTCTTAATGTCAAATCATTTGTTTGGATATTAATTACATTTGGCATTTGGATTTGTGCCAAATTCATTAGGTGATTTTCAAATACATGTCTTGTGTATTTCTTGTCAACTTCAAATACATTTCAACAACTAGTAATTTGAAATTCCTTCTAACAAAAATTAGACCTGTCTGTAAAATTTAAAAGTTTAGGTACAGTGTGTAACGCAAAATATATAAAGGTACCAAAACATAATTTTAGCAACAAAATTTCTAGACCTTTTTATAAAATTTTAGGTATGAAATTGCAATAAAAAATAATTTTGAACACCAAAATGTAATTATCAAAACTTGTAGTAAGTGACCAAAAAATTCAAATTAAAATAAAAAATCTAAAATCTAAATTACCAATAAATTTCAAATCATTATCCAAATAACAAATTTAAGTATATTATGTATTTCAAATATATGCGTTTGAAGTACATATATTTCAATTACACTACATTTTAAATACCCTTGTGCCCACTTTTCATTCACACGTTTCTCAACGCATAGGGGGAAAAGTGTAAGAAGGTACCACGAGCCCTCTATCCCCACATCTATCCAGAAGCAAGTGTGGTTCACCGGTTTCACCGAATGCTCCTATATCTCGGCAAAGATCGTGTGAGCGTGCAGTTATGCTTCAGACGCTTCGCCGTAGAATATTAATAGTAATAGTAGTGACTCTTCCTTTACAGAAGAACAAAAAAGTTTATTGCCTAACTAAACTTAAAAGCGGTACCCAACTTTCCTTAAAAACAAATAGGGTCATGTCTATTTATTAGCTAAACCTTTTTCGAATTTTTTTATTTTAGCCAAACCTATTGAAATACTATTAATTAGCCAAACATATTATAACCGATCAAAGTATTGCTATAATTCTGTTGCCGTTAAGTATTCTAAATAGTGCTCCATCTCAGCGTCCACCTCAACATCCAAAACGTCCAATAAAATAAAATAAATCATAAAAATAAAATCTAAAATACAAAATAAGAACTAAAAAATCCCTCCCCCCTCGTCTCCTCAGTCGCCCCATCTTCTCCACCCTCGCCTTTGTCTCTCCTCCCTCCTCTGGCTTTCACCAGACACACCACCGCCAACGCACACGTCCACACCTCATCGCACAGACCCTAAGAACAACATTCAACGCACGACAACATCCCCCGCCGACGCCTTCTCTTCCCCTCCACCACCACCCCGTCACGGCCAGAATCTCTTGCCATAAAACACAATCCGAATCTCAACTCACCACAACCAAAACCCACTGCCGCCAGGGCCACCCAAGCTCCCCCTGATCGGAAACTTGCACTACCCCATCGACGCACTCCCAGCCAGCCAAATTCCCCCAATCCCCTAATCGATGTAAATCAGGACTCGATGTAAAGCGGCCTAACGATTTTGGTTTGATTCGATTCCGGATCGAAACCGAACCTGATCGTGCTGGCCGAAAAGTCAGATCGACGCTCGAAATGTGAAGGCGGGACGACCTTGGACTCGGAGGTTGCCGGGTTCCAGAGGATCCGGTCGTCCTGCTTTCTGTCCGACTGGATTAGACAAAGCAGGTCGTTACAGCATCCGACGAATCTCATGTCCAGGCAGGGCGACTTGAGCGGATCGAAGAGCAGCTGGATCCGCTCTGGTGTGTCGGAGGAATGTCAGCTGTGAAGGCGGCGAGATCTGTTTTCAGTGCGCTCCATCCACGAAGAGGAATTTATGATGATTAGGAGGAGAAGCAGAGGAGGATTGGTTTTTGCTGATGAAGGAGGGATCGGGGAGGAAGTCACACCATGATTTGCTGATGCAGCAGAACCAAACGATACAGGGAGGAAGATGATGCAAGGTGGTCGCCGACGAGACTTCCATTTTGCACTTTTTGAGATTAGTGTTTCTTTTAGTTTTTGTATAGGGATTAGGGAATTAAGGTAATTACACAAACGACGGTTTTTTCATTTATTTTATTTTTAATATTGATAAAATGTTATTAGTGGTTGATCGGTTGTTGTGACATTTTTTGACTGCTATGTCTTATTTCCTTCCACCTCAACGTCATATATGATAGCTCACCATCATCAAATGAAAGTGTCAAGGGAAACTTAGTAACGTTTGATGGGTAGTTGTCATAAATGGTCACAAAACTATTCACTTTATACAAAACGGTCATAAATCTTTAATTTTGTACGTTTCAGTAACATATATTTGGACTAATAATAAAAAGGTTATTTCGTCCATTTCCATCCAAAATTCTGTTAGTTTGGTCCAATCAGCCATCCCGTCAGCATCCAGATCATCAAAATAATCAATAAAAAATAAAATAGAAATCAATTAAATCCTAACCAACCCACCACCCAATCCGATCGAACCCAACCCATTCCTCTCTTTCTCCTCACCCTCTCCACCACCATCTCCTAACCGCCCACCTGATTCCTACTGTTTGAACATTGGCCGGAAACGAAAACAGCAAAGCTGGAAACAAAGGAATATTCAAAACAGAGCATCTAGTGTTCCTCTGGCTTTGGGAAAATTTATCTCTTGCTAATATTTTATCTTACCATTTTATATTTAGAGCTACATTCATACAAAAATGGCGGTAATGTAATCTTTGTTGGGAAATGACCCAAGGAGATTCATCAAGAGGTCTCCTCTCCTCTTCCTTTCTCTCCTCAGTAGAAAGATTCCTGCCACACTAGTAAGGTATCTTTTTTTTAAAGAAACAATCAAGCAAAGCAGGCTCACTTTTCTTCATGCACTCTGTCCCCCATTGATCTCTAGGTGCTTAGTTATGATTACCAAACCAGTTATGTCACCGAAGAGTGGCGGTTCTGGATCATAATTAACTAATTTCTTTTCACCGAATTTAGGACCTTGCTTTGTAGTTTTTTCAACCAGGCCGAGCACTGGAAGGACCGAGAGGTACGCTGTAAAATCATCTTCGAACCTCAGAAGGAGCAAAGCGGCAGCCGCAGAGGTACTGGAGATGGATCGTGGTTAGGAAAAGGGGAGGAGAGAGAGATCCTTCTCTCTTAACTATTTACTTTTTTTAAATGGTTTGCAATCCAAATATCGAATGAATTTGGATTTAGGGAATTTTTTTCCCAGATGGGCGGTGCGGAGATGGTGGCGGAGAGGGAGAAGAGAAAGAGATAAAGAAGAATGGGTTGGGTTCGATTGGGGTGGTGGTTTCTATTTTATTGATTATTTTGATGATGTGGATGCTGACTGGATGGCTGACTGGACCAAACTAACAGAATTTTGGATGGAGATGGATGGAATTACCTTATTGTTATTGGTCCAAACGTTTGTTACTAAAACGTGTAAAATTAAAGTTTGTGACCGCTTTGTACAAAGTGAATAGTTTTGTGACCATTTATGATAACTACCCAACGTTTGATTAAATCATTTCAATAAATTTGACTAATAAAATTGGAGGAATTCAAAAAAGATTTTGCTGGAAGCCTGGAATTCCCTCAAAGGCGGTTGCTGTTTCCCCTTCTTCTTCCACAAGAAATCTACCTATTTATTTTTATATACAGACGCCATATTTTCCTTTACCTTGTAGAAAAAGGAAACCCGAGATCCACACTGCCACCGTCTCTCTATATATTCATACACCCAAATCGATTCCCGCGAGTAAATAAAGACACGAATCATGGCTTCAGCAGCTGTCTGCAGCGCAAGAATCTGCGGAACCAAGCGATTGCATCTGTTCGACGACGACGAATACAACTGCGATTTCCCATCGCCGTACCCATCGCCGGTTACAAAGAGACGCCGGTTCGTTCCCCCAGGTCTCGAGCGCCTTCAGGCGAGGTTCCCCAACATGGAGGTGGCGGTTCTCGAGCTAGCCCTAGAAGAATGCGGCGGCAACATCGACGCCGCGATCCACCGCCTCTGCCGTCTCTCCCTGGAAGAAGCACCTGCCGCAAAACCCAACCCCGCGGCGAAAATCAGCAGCGATCCTCCGACCCAGTGGGTTGAGCTGCTGGTGGAGGAGATGGCGAAAGCGACGAGCATGGACGACGCCAAGTCCCGAGCCGGCAAGGTGTTAGAAGCTCTGGAGAAGGCGGTGGCGCAGGCCGCCGGGAAGGAGAGCAAGAGAAGAGCGGAGGTCATGAGCAGGGAGAATTCTTTGCTCAAACGGGCGGTGGCGATTCTCTACGAGCGGCAGAAGGACAAGAAGGAGAAGGAAGCCGAATCAGAGGCCCTGAAGAAATTGGTGGCGGAGTACCAGGAGAAACTGAAAACCCTAGAGGCTAACAATTTCGCCCTGTCCGTGCACTTGAGTCAAGCGCTCCGCGGCGGTTCAATTTCCGGCCATTGCCGCCCCGATGTCTTCTGACTGAATTAGGGTTTTGTTTAGCTTTCTTCTTTGTATTCTTCTTCTTCGAGATTAGTTCCCAAAAGAGAAAACGCCTCTGTTCGTTTTTGTTTGTCAATTAAATTTGGTTCGTTACTGTAATGAATACGTCACCATATATAAATGATATTGCTTTATTTTCGCCGTCCACTATCGATTCGAGGGCAGTTTCCGAAAACGACTCCTTTTGTGGTGCTCTGAAAGTTCTCTTCCGCCATGGAAGCTGCAGCCGGGACTGCGAGAGTTTTCAATCGCCGGCTCTATACCAATTTCATCAAACCATCTCATCTGAATCCTCGAATTTATCGCCTAAACCCCATTGTACGTGCGGCCCCTGTTTCTTTTCTGCAATTCAATCCTCCCAACTCCAGACCCATCAACGTCTTCCTCTCCCTTTCGTCGTCTCATCTCTCCAATTCGTCGAACCCATTTGAAAATTTCACCCATACCAATTTCGGTTCTCAATCTACCGCGAAGGAAGGGTTATTCAAATGGCATCTAGCTCCAGATGCCGGCATCAATGGCAGCCGGAGTCTATTGGTCGGACCGAAAGACCCAGTAGCGACGGTGGTTTTGCTCGGCTGGCTGGGAGCGAAGCAGAAGCACCTAAGGAAGTACGTGGAGTGCTACAATTCACTAGGGATTCACGCGGTTACCTTCGTTGTTGATGCCGGCGAGCTGCTTGGCTTCGATTTGGGGGAGAGAGTGGAGAGGCGGATCGCTGCGTTGGCCGATGAGCTCATTTCCTGGGTCACCCAGAGGGGAGAAGAAGACGGCAGAGAGCGTTGCTTGCTGTTTCACACTTTCAGCAACACTGGCTTTTTGACGTAGGTTGATTGATATTCGTTTGCCCCTTTGTTTCATTCATTAACAGGTGTTTTATGGGTTGTGATTGTGGAGCAATCTTGGAGCTGTGCTAATTGTGATGGCTGCTTGCAGGTATGGTTACGTTATTGACATTATGCAAAGTAGAGAAGGTGTGACGAATAAGATCAAAGGTTGTGTGGTCGATTCTGGAGGTGCTGGGCTGTTGGATCATAAGGTTCGTTCGATTTATTTACGTTTTGGATAATTTTCCAGCCAGGGCGAGTGTGTTTGAAACCAAATCGTAGCTGTTAATTGATTTCCTGGTTCCATAAGTTGTTTTTCGTTCTGCGTCGTTCAACTGTAATGCTGATAGTTAAATGTCGTAAGCTGCTAAGCAGAGGCGGCTTGGAACTCTTCATGTTTAGAGTAGTAACAGCAGCAAGCGTTAGGGATGACAGTAGCTGATGTGCAACAGTCAGTGCCATACTGATGATTATGTTTCCAGCAGCAGAATGGATTTGCTCTTGCTTAGTGTTCCTTTATTGATTGCTTCATCCATGGCTTGTTTTGGAGCAACCATATGAAACGTGGAACTCTCTTAGGTATCTTGTTTCAATCAATCTGAGAGTTTCTAAAGCTCAAAGCAGTTAGGGAGAGACCTACTTAGGCTAAATGGTGAGAGCGAGCTGCGAGTGAATCTAGTTTGCTGACATCAACTTGCAGAAATGCCTCTCTATATGGAAGTGATACCTTTCCATGATCACAAGAAGCTAGACTGAACTGTTACTGTCACCAGGTGTGGGCTGCTGGGTTTGCTGCAGCACTCTTGAAGAAACGGAGCTCTGCAGTTCCAAATTCAGAAGAGGAAACAAATAGCCAAAAGACTCGAATCGCGGACAGTCAATCACCTGATCTCATAGAAACATTGGTGCTAGGAGCACTGGAGATATTTTTTTCGGTGGTTCTAAAGTTTCCTGAAGTCGACCGGTGAGTATTCACTTCTGAATTGTTGTTATCCTCATTCAGTTGCTCGGACATTTGCATTTGCAGTTGAAAGCCCACAGAATCATTTTGCAATCGGAAAAAAATGTGTCGCAGGAAGTTGAGGAAGACTGTGGCTGCTGTCTCAAACAACCAGCTATTGAATTATCCTCGGCTTTACCTGTACAGTACGGGAGACATTGTTGTGCCCCATGAGTTGATCGAAGCTGCAATCGAGGAGGAAAGGAGAAAGGGAAGAAGGGTTGTCTCCCATAACTTTCAATCATCTCCACATGTGGATCATTTTCGGGCCTTCCCAGAAACGTATCTATCGGTTGTTCATGGGTTTTTGAAGGTATGCTTTTCGAATGTAGCAGCAGCAACAGCAGCAGACGTGAAGCCTCATCAATGAATGGACGTTGCCATTCTTGTAGGCATCGATTCCTATTTGTTTGCCAATTGCTTGAGCTACCTCTGGGCAAAAGGGGAAAACATGATCAAGATGTCCTTTTGTGGACCTGCAGTCAGCTGTTATATTCATCACTATTCGTACACTTGTCAGCCATTCAAACCGAGGTTACATACGAAAATAGCCACGATTTAGCATAGCATGGAGAGGGAAATGTTTGGGGGAAAATCCCAAAATACACTAGTAATTAAAAATAATTCCCAACATACATAAGTTATAAAAAAAAAATTTCAATCTACACATGTTTCACAATCACTGCCTTTGTCAAAGGCAGTGAACAATATCACCGTTTTCGACGAACGCGGTGAACAAATCACCGTGTTTTGATAAAACGGTGAAGGCTTCACCGCGGCTAAGTAAAACGGTGAAATTGCAGGGAACCAATCACCGCTTTCATTTAAAACGGTGAAGCATTCACCGTTTTAAATAAAAGCGGTGATTATTTCCCTGCTTCTGAAGGCCACGGTGAATCTGGCGCGACTCGTTGACGTGGACAAACGCGGGGAATTCACCGCGTTAGTCAAAAACGGTGAATAATAACCCGCGTTTGGGCCCCAGGGCAGGCCATTGAACCTCACCGGCCTCAACAAGTGGGGCATGTTCATCACGTTACGGGTATTCTTCCGATGGCACTCATCCTGCACCACTACCTCCTTCGTAGTTGCTTGAACTACCACCTAATACGTAACCTCCTGTATAACCACCTCCTTCATAGTTGCTTGAACTACCACTCCATTCGTACTCTCCTGCAAAACGATCATCATAAGAATACTGGTGAGAATGAGTTTCACCGACTACCTCGGTCTCAACATAGACCTATGCAAGCCCCATCCCGTTATCGCCTAGTAACTGTAACATCATCGTAACCTCGTCATCATCGTTTATGACTTCTTGGTACACAACCCCGCCAGCACTCATGTCTGGATACCGGTAAGTAATTTTTACCAACTCTCGTCTGTCCGCTCGTACAAACCATGTATGCACAAATATCACAGAGTTCTTGCCACGTGAATCGCGACTCAATTTTCAACATAGTGAATTTACTGTCCTCATAATCAATCCCAATGTCAGAGTCGGTCACCCTTCCATTCCACCAAATAATAAGTTGAAACTTCTTGAATTTACCAATATCTACAATTTACAATAAGTAACTATTAGCTTAATTCCAATAAAATTAACCACAACCATATTGTATGACTAATATTACTCCATCTCATAACTATCAACAACATAAATTTCCAACTAACATAACATATTTGCTAACTACTAAAAACATCATTATATAACAATACAAAATTAAATCATACCGAAAAATAGCTTCTGTGTATTTTGCTCGGTTTTTTTGCTGAAATTTGAAGAGGGAGGGGGGGGGGGGGGGGGGGAGGTTACGTTTTTCCAACTGCTGGTGGGGGGTATTTATATGAAAATCGGCCAGCATTCACCGTGTTTGTAAGTAGCGGTGAAGACAATCACCGTCATGGCGGTGAACGTTAGGTGGTTGTGACCTAACTCTCACCTACCAGGGTTGGGAAATGTGGGCAACTATCACCGCGCTAAACTACAGCGGTGAAGGTGTTCCTCGCTTTGCACAAAAACGGTGATCAATTCACCGTTGTTGCCAAAGACGGTCAATGCTTCACCGTTTAAGTAAAACGCGATGAACCTTTCACCGCTTTTGATAAAAACGGTGATTCCTCATCGTTTTCGTTAAACGCGGTGACTTATTCACTGTGTTTGTTTAACACGGTGATCGCATTCACTGTCTTAGACAAAGGCGGTGAATGTAAAACATGTGTAGATTGAGATTTTTTTATAACTTATGTATTTCGAAAACTTTTTTTAATTACTGGTGTATATTGGGATTTTTTTCCGAAATGTTGCACAACAACTAAGGTCCCGTTTTGCAAAATTTTGTTCTTGGTAACTTGGTAGGGTTGCAGTATTGTTGTGAGTTGTGACAATAGAGATATTACTACATATCATAAACATGAAAAGATAAAAATAAATATAAAAATAAATTTAATTGATATTTATGGGAAATCATCAAAGTTGATAATTTTATGCGTCTACTTATTAGTTATTAGATTATACTTCGTTTATTATCAATATTAAGATGATGAGTTATAAAAAAATTAAGAAATGAAAAGATGTGAAAACAATATCAACCTGAAACTTTATTGAGTTATGACTTATAGGATGAAATCCCATAATACATATATTTTTAAAAAAAAATTCGCAAAATACACATGTTATAAAAAAAATTCACAAAATACACATGTTTGTGCATCACCGCTGTTGTCAACCGCGGTGAATGCCTGACGTAACACTGAAACTTCAAACAAACGTAACTTTGCGCTCGTTTATCCGATTGTAGCGAATTTTTTTTTGCTTCCATATAACTTTTCAAGATCTTTCAATCTGCAGAAAGACTTAATCTAGAAAAAATGTCGTTTGTTACCCCGAGAAAGCAATTTTTCGATTTTGCCAAACTTTAGAAGACCATAACTTTTAGCTCGTCAATCCGAACGTCGTAAAAATTTTTTTGATTGCGCATAACTTTTTAAGAACTACAACTTTTACTAGGAAAGAATTAAAAAAAAGAAATATTTTTGGGTATACGGGATTTTGGCAATAACTTTGCCTTTACTTTTCACAAATCCACATACTTTCCAAAATTATGGTTATAATAAAAGTTGTAGTACTTCAAGGATGCGTGACCTTATGGGAAGTCACCCTGAATTGCACTCCAAGTTGAAAACCGTGCGGGTGTAGAGGCCCAAAGCGGACAATATTTTGTTGGGAAAAGGTTCGGGATGTTACAAGTGGTATCAGAGCCTCTCCGCGTCCCTCTTGAACGATGGTGGGGCAAACCTCAACGAGGGCTTTGAGTCCCAAGGGAGGATGTTTGTAACACCTTAGGCGAATCCCACATCAACAAAGTACGGGAGAGATCTATGGTTCATTAGTAGGAAACCGACCTTAACTGATAAGACGCGTTTTGGGGTGTAATGGAGGAGTTCTTGTGAGAACTCCGAAGTTAAACGTGCTCAGTGTGGAGTACAACAAGGATGGGTGACCTTATGGGAAGTCACCCTGAATTGCACTCCAAGTCGAAAACCGTGCAGGTGTAGAGGCCCAAAGCGAACAGTATCTTGTCGGGAATAGGTTTGGGATGTTACAAGTGGTATCAAGAACTCCTTCGTTTCACCCCAAAACGCGTCTTATCAGTTAAGGCCGGTTTCCTACTTATGAACCATGGATCTCTCCCGTACTTTGTTGATGTGGCATTCGCCTAAGGTGTTACAAAAGATCTTGAAAAGTTATGTGGAATAAAAAAAAATTCGCTACAATCGGATAACCGAGCGCAAAGTTACGTTTGTTTGAAGTTTCAGTGTTACGTCAGGCATTCACCGCGGCCGTCAACCGCGGTGATGCATTCACCGCTTTGGTCTGCCGCGGTGAATGCAATCACTGCGGTTGACAACAACGGTGATGCCCAAACATGTGTATTTTGGGGAAAAATTTTATAACGTGTGTTTTTTTTTGGGAATTTTTTTTAAAAACATGTGTATTTTAGGATTTTTTTTCTTCACTTATGAGACAAAACAATATTGACAATAAGGAAAGGAATAACAAAGTGACAACATGTTTTCCCCAGATCACTCACTACTAGTTTTTGAATCTTATTTGCTAAATCAAGGAAAAGCGACATGTTGTTCAAACACTAAAATAGTATTTTAACTAAAAATTTTTTGTTGATCCCGCTTTAGGCTCGAGTCAATTACTCAATTGACTCAATTTGATTCAGACCGATCCGATTTCCTGCAATATTGGGTTAATCTGAAACTTCAGGTCCAGGTTCGTTGTACCTACGAATCTAAGCGGCCGGCGAGGAAGGAAGAAATAGCAGTTGGCGAAAACCAGCATTTGCTCGCGGGTTGAACAGAGAGAAAAGGCTTCTCGCTCGTCCTTCCCTTTCATTTCCTCTAGTAACTCTGCTTTCTGTACCCCCAAGAAATGGCCGACCAGGATGAACAGGAGGCGGTTAACTACAAGATTTCGCCGCCGAATACCTATGCAGCTGTTGTGCTTGGCGGCACCTTTGATCGCCTGCATGACGGTCACCGACTTTTCCTCAAGGTCTACCTTCTCCTTTCTCTAGTCTTGTCTTCATTTTGTCGCGTAATTTGAACTGGGTCCTGATTTTGGGTCATTGGGATAAATACTAGGCAGCAGCGGAGCTTGCTAGGGAGAGGGTTGTGGTTGGAGTTTGCGATGGCCCTATGCTTACCAACAAACAGGTTTCGCTTCTTCATCAAAATCTATGTTTCTTATCATAACTTTCTGGTATCATCATCTCAACATTATACTCTTAAGTTCACTATAATCTAGCTGCTGGATGAGGAATAGATTTTAGCTGTTCTATTCGTGTTATTGAGTGACAAAGAATGCCCCAAAGGTTAATGCCCTCGCATATGAATTCCCTAATGTGAGCATTTGTAATGATTTGGGAGTTGGCCTCCTTTGGTTTCAGTTTGCAGACTTGATACAGCCTGTGGAGGAAAGGATGCAGAATGTTGAGAACTATATTAAGGTATGTCGGTGGTGGAGTGAATGAATCTCAAATATTTTTTACATAAACTTATGGTCGAGAGTCTAAGTTGCTTGAATAGTTGCTGAACGCAGTTTATGCCAGTGCCTGAAACTAGATAACGTCATGGTCCTTTACCATGTGTTTGGATTACATCTGATTCAGTTAGCTTACTTTACGGTCTAGCTGAAACTCTAATTGTTCTATGAAGAAAGCATAGGCTGTTGTTGGCACATTGAAGCACCCAAAATGTTGTTGGACATGACACAGTTCACTCTATATCATATGCAGTCCATCAAGCCAGAACTCGTGTTGCAAGCTGAACCGATTGTGGATCCATATGGACCTTCGATTACTGTCGAAGATTTGGAAGCTATAGTGGTTAGGTAAGCTGTTACCCATGTTCTGGGTATTTTTCCTTTGCATCAGTAGAAAGATTGGCCAGTATGTCAGCCTTCATTGATGAAATCCAGGGTGCATATGCATAAGTTTGTTATTCTGATAGGAACCTCAGAGATTAGTTCTTATCTTAGTCCTGATTTTGTGGCAGCAAAGAGACAGTGCCGGGCGGCCTTGCAGTTAACAGGAAGAGAGCTGAAAAGGGATTCTCACAGCTAAAGGTTATTGTGTCTCCCTTTGATCTCCGTATCTTCCAATTTATGAAGTCAATTTCAGATGATCACTTTCAGCACCCGAGACTTGTGCAGGTTGAGGTTGTGGAACTCGTTTCTGAAGAATCTAGTGGTGAAAAGCTGAGTTCCTCAACACTGAGGCGCCTTGATGCTGAGAAGTCTAAACTACCACAAGCAGCATAGAGATAGATAGAGAAGACCCAACTCAGCCGTCCTAAGGCTTTGTGTGCTGATCCATGTTCGCAACAACAGCGATTGATGGTGCTGCTCTGGCCAACGTAGCTGAGCAAAGCGAGGTATTGAGTTGTGCACTGTGTTGATCTCTAGCTTTGTCTCCCCCTTCCCCCCAAACACTGTAAACCCTTTTTAGTCCATATTCAGTGAAATTTCAAGTAATTGAAGTGTTGGAAGTTGTAACTACTAACAACATTTGGTTTGGAAAATTCAAGCTCTTCAGGAAATTGAGCAGACTTTGATATCTTTCCCTCTCTCCATCCATCGGTCCATGGACCTTGTTCTGATTATATGCGATAAACGGCGTCATTTCGGTCCTGAGACTTGTGTAACTGCTATTGCTTATAAGCGATTCTGGCGGAAATTATGTAACTGCTTCCTCCACCGCCTTCGCCCATTCACTATCGTCTATAATATAACGGCTACTTGTTTGTATCCATCTCTCCGCGCAGCGAAATTTCGAAACTGGAAAAAGAGTTTTTTCTCTAATATTCCCTCTCCTGGCCTATTCCCTCTCCTCGCCTCGATCAGTTTATACTCTGGAAAAGCTTCACACTTTTGCAATTCCACGAGAGGCAGAGTAGCAGAGGTACGGAGCAAGGGCGTGGTGGATTGCAGTCCAGAAGTTTTGGATTTGTTTGACGAGAAGTGAAGAATCATTATCGCCTCCAAGGTTTTACATGATCTCTCTCTCTCTCTCTTTCTTTCTTCGTTTACTCAATTTCAAATTTCAGACTCAAGTACGATGACTCGCCATGGCAGTTTCACTTCTTGTAGAGTAGTTCTTCATGTCCATGGGTACTTTCTGTTTTTCTGGGTTTCTACGGCGTTCTTGGGATCTTTAAAGAGATACCCATTTGCCTCTTTGCTTCGTTTCTTGATTCGATTTCTCTGTTCCCGCACCAAATTAGTCTTGATGATGAGTTTTTTCCTCTAATGGTGGTTAGTTATGGCGTTGTGTCCAGGTCTCTTGGAGAAGGGACTTCACAGAAACCCAGCAAAACTTTTCCTCGCTAGTCGATTCAAACCTTGAATCTGGTATAATACAGGGTAATCAAAAAATCAATCAAGACTCCTTTTGTCTTCTCTCCGTGTTATTTCTTGCTTCTTCTGCTCGTTCCCTTCCCGCTAACACTTACTCTGTTCTTCTCTTTTCGTTTCTCCTCAGAAAGTAAGGTTGCAGAGTTTCTGTGTGTTTGCAGTCGAAACCCGAAAACATGAATGATCTCCTCACGAAATCGTTCCTAAGTTATGTGGAACTCAAGAAGCAAGCCAGTAAGGACCTGGAAGCCGAGCTCACCGGCGGCGGCGCCAATTCGCCGGAGCTCGCCCCCTCAGGCGACGAGCCCAACCTAGTCGAGTTCTTCCTCCGAGCCGACTCAATCAAGTCCGAGATGGAAGAGATCACCGATCTCTTGTCCGACCTCGAAGCCCTAAACGAAGAAACCAAGTCCTCCCACAGCGCCAAGGTCCTCCGCGGGCTGAGGGACCGAATCCAATCCGACACGGTGGCCGTCCTCCGAAAGGCCAAGAGCGTCAAGGCCAGCCTCGAATCCCTCGAAGCTTCGAACACGGCCAACCGGAAGACCTACAGAGAAGGAACCCCCGTCGACAGAACAAGGGTCTCCGTCACCAACGGCCTGAGGGTGAAATTCAGGGAGACGATGAACGAGTTCCTCTTTCTCAGAGAGAAGATCCTGTCCGATTACAAGAAGGATCTGAGGAGGAAGTATTTCGTGGCGACCGGAGAGGAACCCAGCGACGAGGCGATGGAGAAGATCACTTCAGGGAGCGGTGGAGTCGAGCTGATGTTGGCGGCGGCGGCGGCGGGGAAAGGGAAGAAGGCGGAGGAGGACTTGCAGAGCAAAGAGAGGCACCAAGCTGTGCTTGATATACAGAGGAGCTTGACGAAGCTTCATCAGGTCTTCTTAGATATGGCGGTTCTGGTGGAGACTCAGGGAGAGAGGATTGATGACATCGAGGAGAATGTGGCCAAGGCCACCGAGTTCGTGGCTGGAGGGACTGATAATCTCTACTATGCCAAGCAGATGAAGAAGAAGAAGCGAGCTACTTGGATTTACTGTGGTATAGCTGCGGCAATCATGGTGGTTTTGTTTGTGTGCCTGATTTCCTTGCTTACTTCTTGAGTGAGCAACTGGCCTTCGTTTTTTCCCCTTTTTCTTCTTCTTCAGGGTAGTTTGATAGTGTTTCTGTCGATTCTGGTCTACTCAGGTTTTCTACTTGAGAACGAACTAGGAGTCTTTTTGGTTGTACCTGGCAGCTTGTTGACTACTTGGCTTGTTGAAACGAGTCCTGAAAGATGATGAAATTTTCGGTCTAATGGAATGTCAAAATGTTTGGTGCTGAATCTATTGGAGATATTTTTGGTCTATAAATGTTGTTATGTAAGTACATCCATACACCCAGATAACAGTTTACAATAGCAACCTGCCATGTTCCACTAGCAGTAGAAGCTCTGCTAGATAGATGTACATATGGAGAAATTTCACTCTCATGTGTCGAATACGTGCCTAGTCTTGAACACTTTCAAGTGGAACCACAGTGATTAGACAACTGTATGCAAACAGCAACGAACCGGAGGTGCCCTTGATTCTCTACAGCCAAGTCGCCAGATGCAGGCTCAGTCAGCTCCACACAGCACCTTCCCTTTCTTGCTCAAAGCTCATTAGAATCTGTCAGCTTTGGAAGAGACGATGCAAATTCATGGTCAGGTCATAGAATTAGGGTTTGGCTCCCAAGTTCATGCCATAAATGCTCTTCTTCACGCATACACTAGCTCTGGTAGTGTAAACAATGGATGTCATCTCTTCAACCTGACAACAAACCAACACTACACCGTTACTTGGAAGTTGGAACACGATGATTAATGGGTGCATAAAATGTGGGGAGATTATGAAAACAACTGGGCTATTCAAAGAGAGGCTGACAAAGAATGCAATTTCATGGACGATAATGGTTTCGGGGTATGTTCAGGGAGGGTTGACAGGGAAGCTTTGAAAGTATTTCATAAGATGCAGGCTGAAGCCAGAGTCAAACTCGATATTGTAGCGCTGACCAGTGCACTATTTGCTTGCTCTCAGCTTCAAGCCTTGGACCAGGTGAGATGGATTCATGTACATTTCAACAGAAATGGAATGAAGTTAGATTAAATTCTAGGGTGTGCTCTGATAGACATGTATGGCAATATGGAAGAAGCTCTTAAGACATTTGAGAAGATTCGGAACAAAAGTGTTCATACAAGGACTGCAATGATTTTTGGGTTTGCTATCCACGTCCAAGGAAGAGAAGCTCTTTCTTGGTTTAACAAAATGAAAACAGGAGTCGAACCAAACCAAGTCACATTTACAGCTATTCTGACTGCTTGCACAGGAAAAGTGGAGGAGGGATAATCGATGTTCGAAAGCATAAGGTCATACCGTGAGTCCAACAATTGAGCACTATGGATGCATGGTTGACCTACTGGGTAGAGCCGGGTTGTTGATGGAAGCTAAAGATCAGGAGAATGCATGTTGAACCACATCCAATCATTTGGGGGTCACTGCTAAAAGCCTGCAAGATACATAGGAATCTAGAGATAGGTAAATAAATAGGGAAACTCGTAACTGAAATGAACCCTGATCATAGTGGAAGGTATATTCACTTGGCAAACATCCATGCTGCTGCAAAGGAATGGGAGCTGGCAGCTGAAACAAGAAAAAAGATGAAAGAAGATGGAGTGTCGAAATTACCAGGATGCAAAACAAGCAGCATGAACAGGATGGTTCATGATTTGTGGGAGGTGATAGAAACCATCCGGAGGCAGATGTAATTTACAGCAAATGGCACGAGATAGCTAATCGGCTGTGGCAAGAAGGCTATGAACCTGTGACAAGAGTGCTATTGCTAGATCTTGAAGACAATGCAAAAGAAACTGCTATCAATCAGCACAGTGAGAAGCTGGCTGTTGCATTTGGGTTGACTCATACTAAACCAGGGACAGGAATTCGGATTTTCAAGAATCTTAGTGTTTGTGAAGATTGTCATGATGTGATGAAACTCATTTCCAGGATTTATAATAGGGAGATTGTAATGCGGGACAGAATTTGGTTCCACTGTTCCAGAGATGGAAGATGTTCTTGTGCTGACTATTGGTAAGGACAAGGCAAAGAGGAAAGAAATTCATTCGAGTGAAAAATGAATACATGGAACTTTACAAAGGAGTAAATTAATTACTCTTATTGTTTACACAGCTGAAAACGTTTATAAAAAACTGGAACCTGCAGTGAAACTGTTCATCGACCAATTTGAATGGAAACTTTAACTGAGACTGAGCTGCTGCGTAGCTATCCATGATTCACTGGGCTGTAGGTCTACCTTCCCGATCTGCAGAGGTCACAAAATAACCAACGGTCAAAATCCAACCATGTAACTTTGCCAAGAAATTTCCAAAATGGAAACTGCAAGTGATAGAAGAACTCAAGCAGGACATCTTATGTGACCCGTTTGCTATTAAGCAGGAATCCTAACAATATGTTCCACTGGATGTATATAATCCATCAAACTAAATGAAGGCACTAACTGAATACCTTAGCATTTTCAACGCAAACAAAATCTTTATAACATGCTTCCATCTGAAGATGTGGATTCCATAGAACAGCATCTGTCCAACTGCAAGGCAGTAATGGATATATCTTGAGCTTTATCTCAACAGAAAGAAGGAGATTTGAAGCAAAGCAAGATGAAGAGTCAAAAGGAAGTTGCTGATCGACATACTTTGAATTCTTGATAGTAATCACATCGCCCAAGCCATTATCAAGGTAAAGTTCAGCAGGTGCATCAAGATAGACGCAATCTACAAACCCAGGGAAAGTGACCACATCCCTGATAGAATGAACACATTTAAGAAATAGTGAAATAAAGAGAAACCATCTACTAATTTATTCAGACTGGCATGCATTTTGATATAGAAATCCAATCTCCAAAACTACAATCCAAAGAATTTATAGTTTAAACCTCCCTCCATAACTATTATTATGTCCTTCTCACCTCTCCTCTTGTCCTTCCAGAGGATTTGTAGGATCAGGTTCTTTATTCAATGTTTTGCAACCTTTCAAACCTTTCACTGATGCTCCAGTGACAGACGCCTGCACCAAGGGAGTAGTTTATCACTTGAAAACAGTCTAGACTACTTTTGCTCAAGCAATTGAGGTAGCAAGTCTATGGGAGTACTTACGCTGAAATATGTATGCAAAGCAGTGGTAAACGAGAATGGCTTGCTGTCTGTATTTGTAATCTTAAGTTCTGTGGAAATGCTCTTTGCATTAAGAATGACCTGCAAACATTTAAACAAGCATTCCTAACTTGATTTCCAAACACAAAGTCTGCAGATATATAGATTATAGATAGATAGTAATATCGATGTTCGAGTCATTGGTCCTGGATTGCTTGCTTGCAGTACCTTGTATAGGGCTTGGAAACCAAAGTCCCACATAGCTCTACTGTAAGGTTCATCCTTCAGCTCAAATGTTACAACTGGGTCACCCTCTACATTCTCAGAATCAACAACTGACCATTCCATGTTCCTAGCGAATCCATGCTATAATGAACACCACAAATACTAAAAGTCAGAGGGAGTGGTGGAAAAAAGATGATGCCATACAAATTCAGGACTCCGATGCAAGAGGAAATATGGCTATACCTGCTGAATAGCACCCGGTCCAAACTGTGGGAAACAATGCGGAAGGCCTCCACTGTAACAAAGCCACAGATTTACTCCACCGAAAATGGGAATTCGATCGGGGCAGAAAAATGCAAGATAAAATATCCAAGTCGGCGAAACCTGATGGGCTTTTTCTTGTTGAACACAGCATCAGGGCGTACGAAAAGAAGATCTTTCCCACCAGGAACTTTCCAAGACGTCAAGCAGCCTCCATATAGGTAAATCTCCGCCTCACTGTAACAAAGCATTCGCATTCAATTCAATTCAATTCCACCAGTTTACCGGCAACTGCACGGAAAGAAGAGAAACCAGGAAATGAAGTCCTAATCCTCCAAGCCGATGCATTTACCTGCCGTGAGGAGAAGTGAGAACAACTTTGGGCAAGCTACCTTCACCTTCTGAGATCTTCACTCCCGCCGTCGCCACTCCGTTTGCGCTTGCGGAAGCCATAGCAGAGAATCTGCAATTCCCTCGATCCAAAGAAGGGGGGAAACGTAGGTGAATGCCATGAAATGGAAGGAGCTGGTGGATATTGCAGGAAATTTGAATTGATAGGGATGGAAGAAACATGGAGAAGAATAACTCACCGGTTGACTGGGCGGAGATTGAGGTGAGGCAGAGAGAAGGGGATAGAAACGATCGCCATGGCTCGACTGTAATGAATGACGGATTGGAGTAGAGTGGAGTGGGTTGAAGTTGAAGAAGTTCAATGTCCGTGCGCCATATGTTGGTTACTGTGTCGTTTTGGTGGTGATAAACTGTGCTCCTTCACATTCGCATATTCTTTCTACCGTTTTGGATGGGGTGTCCGACCATCCCGAGCTAGTAAATGTAGCGGTTCAAGTCAAATTGGACTAAACTCATGTGAACAACAAATTAATAGAAAGATATTTTAGAATTAAAAATAGTATTATTATTGCACTTAGTCAATTTTTTAAAATTTTGTATAAGATTCGTACAATGGGCAAACTACATTGTATTTGGTTTGATATGGTCTGATCTAAGTGTCTTTTGATTCGGTTTGATATGGTATATACCAAACCATTACACATCTCTATATGTATGGAATCCTCGCATTGACTATGTATGGATGGAGCGTGTATGGTAATTCTTATACAAAACCCACACTTTTAAGCTTACTATTCATTAAGCGGTTATTTCGTAAATAACCCCAACTTAAGGGGTATTCTCATAGGCGGAGGCAGGGGTGTTTGCCCGTCCCGAGACAGGGGTAACTTTTGGGGAAGGAAAAAAATAACCCCTCATGTATTTGTACAAATTGAATTAAACACTTACAAGTAACATAAGGATATTTTAACATTACAAAATAACTCATTACTTGTTCATTAATTCACAAAAAATAATTAAATTATTGGTTTTATTCATGACACCATCATTTCACAACAACTCGTTAGGTATTATCACGATATTATAGCGTAAACAATGAATGTATTTTACATTTCTTTCATAATATGAATACTCATCCTAGTTATTTATGAAACAATAATTATATTAGTTAGTTTTGTGTTTCTCAGTGAATGAATTATTTATATATTATGAATTTTAATTATATTTATAAAATATTATATATATTCTGAATAAAGGATAGGGGTAGTTTGAAATCCTGCCTCCGCCACCGGGTATTCTTGATGAAGGACACATGTTATTGTTGAAGGAGGACACGTGGCAAGAAGAAGAGCATTAGTTCATTAATGGCTAAATTACACGTTTGGTCACTCAAATTATACGAATCTTTCACGTATGCCACCTGAATACTTTTCTTTCTTATTCGCCACTAACTTTATGAATCGTTTCACCATTAGTCACCTGCCGTCCAATTCCGTTAATATCATCCTACGTGGCACTCAATCAAACCCTTTGACCGTTAGTTTGATGACGTGGCAACTAAAATATTAATATATTTTTTCAAATTAAAAATAATATAAAAATATTTTCCAATCTGCTTCCAATCCCTTCCGCCACTTCTTGCTACAGAGCTAGAGCCGAGTCGTCCAGAGTCCGCTCAGTCCCTGACCAAAGCAAATTCAAGAGCGGTGGCGATGCACCCAAAACACGATCGTTCTCTCGTTGTGATCGTCAAGAGCCAAGCTGAAAATTGCTCCAGCGGTGTGATCCTGCGCTTCGGGAATCCAATCCTGGAACACATCAATCACGGCGAGAGAAGCCTCGACCGTACAATCTTCACCTTGTTATGCTTTTGCAATGAGTAAAGTTCACATGAATGAAATTAGGGTTCCCAAGGCGGAGAGAATCGCCGGAGTGTAGAGATTGACGGAAGCCTCTTCTTTGGCCCTGGTTTTTTTTCCGGAAAGAAAGGCCTCTTCAATTTCGAACACTAGTGGATTCTTCAGCTAGTTTCGTTGGCCTCGGATGAGGACGAAGCAGAGTGGGAGGAGTAGCATCTTTTTATCTTTATGAAGGGAGGAATAGCGTCTTGGTCGGGTTGGTAATTGGATCGGGAGCGACGAATTGGACGGCTCTGGCTCAATACTGGAATAAGGAGATCGGGAGCGGCCTCCCCAACTCCCAATTCTTAATCTCCATGGCTTCCCCATGATCGCCGTCTAGTCCGCCACTTTCGCCAAGCTTGCCGCCCAAAACTTTCTCGCAACTCAAATTCCAGCGTTTTGCTCTGCTGCTAGGCTCCTCTGCTTTCCCGATTGTCCCCCAGCCTCGAGAAGAATGTCGAAAAGGTCGTTTCTTCCCCGAACCATATTCTCCGAACTGCCCTTCCCCGCATCCCAAATCGGCGAGCTGAAGCGGATCTTCCAAGCAGACGACAACTTGACGATGAAGGGCACGATTGTGAACTCACTGACCAAGTGCGAGCGCGCTCCGAGCTCCGACGAGACGAAGCTGTGCGTGGGGTCAGCAGAGGACATGATCAACTTCGCTACGTCGGTCTTGGGCCCTGGCGGAATGGTTTGGCAGCAGATTGAAAATTATTATATATTATTTTTAATTTGAAAAAATATATATTAATATTTTTTAATTGTCACGTCATCAAACTAACGGTCAAAGGGTTTGGTTGACTGCTACGTAGGATGACTTTAACGGAATTGAATGACTGGTGACCAATGGTGAAACAATTCGCAAAGTTAGTGGCGAATAAGAAGGAAAAGTGATTTGGGTGACAAACGTGAAAATTTCTTATAATTTGAGTGACCAAACGTGTAATTTAGCCGTTCATTACTCTTGGATTTTTTTTGTTTCTCTTCTATGTTATTATTCAATCCTCTCTATTATTTGGTTTTATTAATATCTTCAAATACGAGTACTATTTGTTAAGCATATTGTAATTCTACGAAACTTTAGTGTAATTAGGTTTATATTCATTAAACGACAAAACAAAAAATAACTTTAACACTTAGGATTACTAATTTATTAAGAGAGATTTTTGTAATTTTCATTAACTTTAGCGACATTACACTAAACTAACATATTTTCAAAATTTTCATTTATTTTTCTATTATCTCATGTTTTCTTTTTTTCATTTCTTTTAATCACATATATGGCATATAAAAACCTTTTAGCCATCCTCTTTTTTATTTATTTATCCTTTGGTATTGCTATCCTTAAATCGAAATCTTTGTTCGTATTTGACGCATATTTCGGCGATGTGTATTCATTTCTGAATTCTTATTTATTGGCATTTTTCTTAGTTTTCGACTATTCAACTAAATATAGACCGTTCACGCGTATTCGAGTCACGTGTATATTGATAAAAAAATTCCAATCTTTGTTGGTTTTCCGTCTATTCAACTAAAGGTCGACTGACCACAGGTATTTCAATCACATATAGTACTCACTGAAGAACAAGAGAACCACATTAATGGTTTTCAAAATGTGTTTGTTGTTCCCTAATCGGTACCTATTCATTGGCCCACGAGTCCATCTTTTACTGTTTGCTTCACGTTATTGTAAAATGTGTTTCCTCGATTCATATTTAGCTGTTTAGTTGTTCTTATTCATCAAATGAGAGCTAGGTCCACATTTTTTTGGGTTTGTGTTCTTTACATATTAGTTTATTCTCTCTAACAATCATATGTAATCTTTCTCATTACTCGCTTTACGTGAAGCGTAGCGAACATGCATATATAGTATCCGTAAAAAGTTTGATATGGATGGGGAATGTTTGGTTTTAGCCTCCTTGTCCAATCAAAATTATTTCTTCATATATTAAAAATATAGGATCATATTGTAACCTCCTAATGACGGAAAGGATAATTAAAAAAAAAGTTAAAATGCAATCAAGTAGCCATCTATACCAAACACTAATTATTTTCCTCGTTTCGTCATTCACTCTTTGACTTTTTCTCTTTGTTAACAAGATTATGTTAGTTGTTTATTGTTCACTAGATGTGTCGAAGTCAAAATGAATAATTTGGATAGAATTTCACTTTGTCTTATGGATTAATGGATATTTTAGTTGAAATCATATTGAGAATGGTTGTATCTTTAGTAATTTTAGGGCTAATATCACTACAATACCCCGAATTATGACCAAAATGTCAATTGTGTCCTATTCTTTTCAATATTCCACTTATGTCCTTTCGTATGTTCCTTTTTGTCATTTGTGTCCTCATAATTTCGTTGACCGTTAAAAATAACGGTTGACCAGATAGAGGTCAAACTATTGACTTTTGCTAACATGGCAAAGCATGTGACATCCACATAGGCACCATGTCATTGCCACATCATTTTTTACTCAAAATTATATAAAAATTAAATTATGAAAATAAAAAATGATAAATATTAAATTCAAGAATATAACTAAACAATATTTTAAACATCAAAATTAACCCAAAAAAAAAACAACAAAAAGTTCATCTCCCTCACCCGATACTCCGACTCCTCACCCACTCCTATTTTCATATATGAACAGTCGTCGTACGAGGCGAGAGGCGGTGCGGGGCAACACGGTAGCGGACCAAGGCGAGATGGAGGGCGGCGTTTGAGCAGTAGCCTCAGTATCATCCGCCCTCCCCTCCGCCAATCCTAAAATCCACTCCGCCATCGCTGTCGAGCTCGAGACAGACCATCGTCACCAACAACCTCTTCGTCGCTCAATGAAAACCGAATCTGGAATCGACTTTCAGAAGAGGAGTTAACGGTGACAGTGGTGCCTCTTGGATTTGGAAAATTTCCTCCTTCTTCTGCTCTTTCCCTTTCGACGAGACCAATGTCACTGATTCCTCTTTACTGCGAGGGCACCAGTCGCTCTCTTTAGTTGGAAATTGAAATTCTTTTGTGAAAATTGGATCTAGCCAATTATGTCGTGAAAGTTGGATCTAGCCATTCTTTCGTGAAATTCCTCTAGCTCAAGAAGCTTCACTCGTCATTGATCGAGGACATCAACACCAAGATCGCTAGCGTCGTTGGAATAGACGGGTTTTTTTGTTGCGGCGGAGAAATCGCAAGGTTTTGTTGTTGTTGATGGGCGTTTACGAGATGGGAATGAGAAGGGGGTTCGAAATTGATGTCGGAGAGAGGGACCGGTGACGGCTTCCTCAAGGAGTCCGGTGAGTAACCCAGAAACCCAAATCGCTGCCAATCTGAGGTTTAATTTTCAGTTTTCTTACTTCATTCATTTTAGATGAAAAAATATTTAAAAATTCAACGTCAGATGTCACGTCGATGATGACTAGATTTTATGTTAAAAAGTAAAGGTCAATGCCGGTCAACATTGACAGAATAATAGTTAAGGACACAAATGGAATATTTGAAAGAATATGATACAAGTGACATGTTGGTCATAGTTTGGGTGTTATAGTGATATTAGCCTTTAGTTTTATGATTTATTAGGTTTGTTTAGCGCTATAATTCAATATCCACACATTGAGTTTTAGGCATAACAATATTGTATATATGGGGCAGGTATTACCAGTGGCGCAGTCAGGATTTTGTTTAAGGTGGGTTTACTTACAAGAAGACTATGCGAAACTTTCGTAATGCAACCTTACACTTTATTAGAATGAAAAACAGAACTAAATACAAAGACTCATGCCACCAAATCAGGCTCCCACTCTCCTTAAAGATAGCAACTAAATCTCCACTAACCAACTAGTTGCTTGCAGTCTAAGACACGTAAACTCACTCTAATATACTCGACATATAGTTGGCCAAAATGACACAGCATTGCCTATCCTAAAAATGATTCAGCAACAATTAATTAAAATGACACAACTGCACAACAACTCTTTATTAACCCGCCAACGGTCTTCATCTTCAAATTCAAACCTTCGCGCCACGCCATCTTCTTCCTCAGCAAACCAGCTTCCAAGATCCAAACTAGTCTTCAGTTCTATTTCTAACATCCTCCCCTGAACTGAAGACTCTTCTTGCAGTTCATCACTCCTTGGTTTCATTAAACACAGCAGCTTCACAAACTCCAAGCCTGCTCCTCAGCATCTTGAAAGCCTCCAGCTTCAATGGTTTGGTCATGATGTATGCAATTTTTTCATGTGTTCCACAGTGTTCCAATTCAATTTTCCCTTCCTTTGCCAAGTCTTTGAGGAGGTGAAAACACACATCTATGTGCTTGCTTTGAACATGGAGCACTGGATTCTTGGATAACTTAATGGCAGAATTGTTATCACACAAAATTCTAGGGCTTCCACTCACAATCCCAGCCAATCATTTCCAGAATCCTCTTCAACCAGACACATTGTGCAACACAGAATGATGCAGCTACAAACTCTGCTTCAGTTGTGGGCAGTGTGACTATTGGCTGCTTTTTCGGTGCCCAGGAAACCACTTCATCTGCCAGGAAGAAAGTGCCTCCACTTTTACTTTTCCTATCATCGAAGTCCCTTGTATATCACTATATGTATACCCTATCCAAGGTTCTTCTGATTTCCTTGCTTTGTACCAGATTCCATGCGTCATGGTTCCTTTTAGGCATTTCAGTGCCCTCTTGACAGCCAGTAAAATGTTGCTTTGTTGGGGGCTCCATAAACCTGCTGACAAGACATACAAAACACATAATGTCTGTCCTGGTGGCTGTGACATACAATAAGCTGCCTATAGGCTGCTTATACTCAGTTGGATTCACCAGGATTCCATATCCAGCCTTAGTAAACTTCATTCAAGGTGATATAGGATTTCCAACAAAGTTGCAGTTGGAGAGCTGGAACTTTTCAAGTAAATCCCTAGTGTATTTCTGTTGACAGATAAACACTCCAGCAGAACTTTGATGCACTTCTACTCCCAAGAAGTATTTCATCCTCCCCAAGTCTGGCATCTCAAACTCCTTCTCCATTGCATATTTTAATTCAGCTATGCAGGCCTAATCATTGCTGGTATATAAGACATCATCCACATACAGCCTAACAATCAGTACTTGTTCCAGATCTCCTTATGAACAAAGTATGTTCATAGGTACATCTTTCAAATCTATAAACAAGAAATAGGACTCGATTCTGCTGTACCAAGCAATTGGAGCTTGTTTTAGGCCATCCAGAGCTTCATGAAGTCTATATACCTTGTGTTTCTCCCCAGCAACCACAAAACCAGGTGATTGCTCAATATAGACTTCTTCATAAAGATCACCATGCAAAAAAACACTTTTCACATCAAGCTGGTAAACTGGCAGACCATGATGAGCAACAAAGGCTAAAATAGTTCGAATGGTATCCCACCTGGCTACTGGGGCAAATACCTTCATGTAGTCGACTCCAGGTTTATGAGATTACTTCTTAGCAACTAGTCTAGCCTTTCTCTTGTCTAGAGAGTCATCTTCCTTTATCTTGGTCTTATCACCAATTTGATGCCAATAGAGTGACCCCAGGAGGTTTTCTGCCATTGTCCATGGCTGGTTCTTGTCAATAGAGTGAAATTCCTGATGCATAGCCTCAATCCATTCATGATCAAGAGAAGCTTCAAAATATATGTTTGAGGATCTCCTAAGTCTGCCATCATAGCCATCCACACTGTGTTTGCAAAGCTACAGTCATAAATAGATAAGTGAGATGGTGGTTTTCTTACCATGTCCCCAGGTCGCCACTTGGCAATCACAACACATTTGTAATGATGTTATAAACTTCTTCATCACAATCTTCTTCTGTAGTATGAGCTGCAGGTATTTTTCGACTGGTAGGTTGTTCATCTGCCAGACTGGTTGGTGTTGCCTGCTCAGTTTCCATATCAGATTCATAATCGCCCCACACATCATCACACCCATCTTAGATCAGTTGTGTTAGAACATGTTGAATCTCTGAGTCCCATGTCCATCCCTTGCTTTCATCAAAGATCACATCCATGCTGGTGACAATCTTCTTTGAAGCAAGATTGTATAACCTATAAGCGTTAGATTCACTATAGATTCCCAGAAAGTAGCATTGATTGCTCTTATCATCGAATTTATCTTTCTTTCTTGGTATGGAACATGAACATAAGCTACACATCCAAAGATTCTGAAATGGGAAACTGAGAGAGGACTACCTATCCAGAGTTCTTGGGAGGGGGTTGCCTTGATTAGCCATTGTGGGGCTTCTGTTGTGAACATGGGTTGCCCACACGACTGCCTCAGGCCAAAAAGAAGAAAGAACTTTGGTGTCTAGAATCATACATCGTACCATAATCATTATGGTTCGATCTCTCTGCCACCCCATTCCGTGGAGGGGTTAAGGCAACAGTGAGTTGTCTTTGGATACCAGCTTCATCACAAAGACCCTTGAACTCATTCAACATTAATTCACCCTCCTATCAGTCCTCAAACATATAATGACCAACCCACCTTTTGTTTTCGCTTGAGCTTTAAACTTCTTAAACATGCTGAGTGTTTCTGACTTAGCTGACAAGAAGTACACCCCACAACTTTCTGCTATAATCATCAGTTAAGGTAAAGATGTACCTTTTTCCTCCATTTTACATTGGAGTGAGAGGCCCACGGAGATCAACATAAAGCAACTGCAATTTTTGAGAAGCTTTCCAGTGACTTTTCTTGAGGAAAGGTTGCCTAGTCTGCTTGCCCACTAGGCAGATGGAACACATTCCAATAGTATCTCCCAACAATGATGGAAGTCCTTCCACTAGTTCCTTCTTCTATAGGAGTTGCAGGCTTTGTATGTTGAGATGACCAAACCTCCTGTGCCATAGTGACAGAGCTGACTCTTCTGGATTTGAAGTCTGTAAGCATTGAAAGCTTGTTTTCTTGATGCAGGACTTGCAATAGCATGTAGCACAAACATTCTATTAGACTCATTTATGTTTGGATCACCAAACCCTTCTCTTCATGAAATATTTTGCAACAACCATGTTTGATCAGAAAAACAAGCCCCTTCTCCTGCCACTGACCTATACTTAGAAGACTATATTTTAGTGCTGGTACGTAGAATATTTTTTGGATAGTGATAGGAAGTTGATTAATAGTAAGCTTCACAGTTCCTTTCCCTACAATATCAAGTCTAGTGTTGTTACCAAGCCTGGCATTACAAGTAGAGTTAGTAGTAAGCTCAACAAACCACTTCTTGTTGCCATTCATATGATTATTGCATCTAGAATTAAGAAACCACCAGTCTACATTGTCACATAATCTTCCACAGATGCCATTAGCAACATATCATCCTTCAAATCGCCAAAAGTCTTATCCTGAACATAGCTGGAGTAATGTGCTTGATGAGTGGTATACCATTCTGGGCACTCATTTTTGTAGTGTCCCAGTTTATGGCATTTGAAACACTCAACAACATCCTTATTCCAACCTCTTCCACTTCTTTCCCTTCCTCTTCCAGGATAAAAGCCTCAGCCCTAAACTCTTCCTCCCATACCACTATATTCATGTGTGGTTCGAAGAGCCTGATCATCATCTGAAAGCCCTCTCTTGGTGAACTTCTGTTCATGAGCCACCAAAGAACTTTAGAATGCATCCACAGTTAGCAGCTCAATGTCTTTGGACTCTTCAATAGAACATACCACATAATTGAATCTTTTTGTGAGTGTCCTCAGAATCTTCTCCGCAATCTTCCCATCTGTAATCTCCTCTTCACATATAATTCTTAACTTCTATATCATTTAACTTCATGTCTTCCAGGATCTTAAATTTGCAGAGAGCTCCACACTGTCATCAGGATCCTGAAACCCTTGTTGCAACACACTCTAGTACTCCTTGAACGAAGGAGATTCTCCATCAGCATGCTCCAGTGTTCATAGTCACCATCAAATTTGGGAAGCCCCACTTGTGCAAATCCTCCTGCATCACTCATGATTCTGGATTGTTGTGTACTGTCACAATTTGTGATCTCTCACCAATGTTGAACACCCTTAACCAAATTCTCTTGTGTTTCACAACCCTACTACAAATCTGTAGTAATCACTAAGAATCACACAAGTTTGCTTGAAATCCCTTTGCTTGATAGCTGGTGTCGCAACCGTCCCTCCGGGGGTCCGTCGGGGTCGCGTCGGCATTTTTGGGAGTCGCCATCGATCTTACTTGGAGTGGATCGAACACTCTTCGGTCGGCTCTAACCTTAGGGTCAGAACGGGGATATGGTCTGCGGTTAAGAGATATGGGTTCGGGAGTACGGTTACGTGTGAGGAAGTTAAGCAACACCCCCACAACGCCCTAAATCGGTACTACTTAAGTCTGATAAGTTTCTATGAGTTGGTGTATTTTAGAAAATATGTATTTTTGGGATCCCACTGGACCATTAAATGATTTTATTGTATTAGATGTAATTTAATTATACGTCCACTGACGTACAATTTAAAGATAAAGTTAATTGGTTAGTTGGACTCGAACCTTATCGGTTGCCTACGTACCCGTTAGACGGGATCAAAGTCCACGTAGTTCGTGTTATAAGATCCAGCAGAACCTTCTCCCAACAACTCGAGTTATTGGGAGCAACTGGTTCATGACATGGTATCAGAGCTGGTTTGGCCAAGTGGTCGTGTGTTCGAATCTCAACGACCCCTAATATTAATAGTCGATTAAAGCACAAGGTATGGTGGGCCTGTGCAAACTTCAAACCCATGGGTTGACTTTCGTTTGAGGGGGCGTGTTAGAGAGTGTTATAAGATCTAGCAGAACCTTCTCCCAACAACTCGAGTTATTGGGAGCAACTGGTTCATGACAGTTCGTTGTAGCTTTTATAGTTTTAGCTATAACCACGTTCCACTGATCGTGATTATATACAAATGGTTTTGTTTAATTTTGAAATATGAAGAAAGATTTTACGTATTTTGAAAAGAATGAAATTGACTTAACTTGAAGATTATTTTGCGTACAAATTTCATATTAAGAATGTTTGAAAAGGAAAGTGGATTAAGTGGTGGCGCACCATTTAAGTACATAAATGTCTCGTAGATCAACTGGTACAATGTAGGCCTCTAGGTTGTAGGTTCGAAGTCAAGGTACGACTTCCTTTTTTTTTTTAAGTTTTCACAGATATTGGAAGGGGTAGTGATTTCAAAAACCGAGTGTTTACATTAGAGTCGGGAAAACCCCAGCCTATTCTCATTTCTGCCGGCTCTCTCTCTCTCTCCCTCGTTCTTTCTGGTTCTCCTCTGATCTTCCTCCCCAGAGAAGGAACCCAATCGAATCTCTTCTCCTCTCCTCTAGCCGCCGCCAAAAATCGAACAAAAGGCTGAAGAAAAACACTCTTCCCTCTCATCTCTCTCTCCTTCGCCTTTCTTTCTCTCGTCCCTTTTTGCTCCGTTCGAACTACAAGGGCGACAGCAGTGGCGACGAAAAAAATTGGAGTGTGTAAGGTTTGTTTTTCTTTTTTTCCATGCGATTTCTACTACTTTCAGATTTGATTTTAGGGTTTTCGAGATTCTAATCCCTATTTTCTTGTTTTTATTTCCGGAGAAACGACCCAAAATCGAGAGGGGTCTCTCGATCTGTACCGCCCCAATCTCGACCGGACCTTTATTGTTGAAACGAAAACAGCATCGATGTACCTTTTTGTACGCGTCTCTTAACATGCATGTTTATTTTTATTTATTTCCCTCTTGATTGGGATCTTGACCCCATTTTTGTGTTTTTTCCTTTTATTCTGGTCTCTACCGAGGGAAGGAAAAGAGAAAGGGAAGCTGCCGGCGGCGCGGCCTGCACCACAACAGGCGGCAGGGTTTTGGTTTTGGTTTCGGTTTCGGTAGGTTTTTTTAATTTGTTGTTCTGTGTTCCTTACTAAATTCGAATTCTGGGTCTTAAATAGCTAGGAATCTGATAGAGTATCCTAGTAACTAAGGAGGCAAAACTCTAGCTAATGGTATAAAGAAGGAAAGAAGACAAAAGAGCATAAGGACAAGGCAAGGAGACATAAGACAAGGCCAGACACCTGACATCAGCAAGGACAAGGGGCAGGGGGACACCCTCTGTCAAAAAGTACCATGTACAGTGTCAGAAGGTCTGAGGCGCCCGACCACAACATTTATGGCTTGGCAGGCGCCCAGACCACTACCTAACCCTCAAATGTGTATAAATAGGAGTTCTCTCCTCATAAATGGCAATCTATCTACTCTTACTATTACTTCTCTCTACTTTCTCTCTCTATATACTTCTTCTCTTTTCTCACTTCTACTGAGGTGGGGCGCCTACCCCCTCAAAGTCATGGCTGACGCCCCAAACCTCTTGGATCCGAGTGACTCCCAGTCGCCCGGGCTCAAACAATTGGCGCCCACCGTGGGGCCAAGCATGACTTTAAAAGACGCTTCCAACTCAAAGAAGGGGGAAGAAAGGAGTCCGGCACCAACGAAGACCCCTATCAAGCAAGTCGTTGGTCGAGAAGCGATCAACCCTCAACCACTCACCATCCAAAGTTTGGAAGCATCCGACGACGACGATCCATCAGGAGAGGGAGAAGACACGGAGCGCCTGGAGGGCCAACTAGCGAAGCTTCGGGAAAAGCAAGCACTTCAAATGGCCAGCACGCAAGGCCAACTGGATCAAGTCATGACCGCGTTGTCAGCACTAACAAAGGCAAACAATCACGCGCCTCCCAATCCCCAAGAAGCCACAGAGGAGAGGAGGCGCCTCCGAGGAAAGATGCAAGAGGTTGAGGTGCTACCCATGAACTCCCCACGGGAGGGTGTGGGCGCCTCACCCAACGAGGACGCAATCGAAGCTGACGACGATGTCTACCTGGAGAAGTACGCCCGACTCAACTACGGCGCCTCGGAAGAAAGAAGCGCCCTGGAATTTTTGTAGGGGGAGGGCCGCCCTTTAAGTAGGCATAACCCAAAGACACCCTAAGAGAGGCAAAAGCGTGCTAGGAGGAGTCCTTTTATTCAGTTTAGGTTGGTAATGTTAGGAATTTTCGGGGAAAGGGACGCGCCCTGGCGATACCCCATGTAATTCCCTATTTTGCTCAAGGAACGGATATTCACTACTCGACAATGCAAAGCTAATCCTATTTTAACAGATGGAGTCACCCCAGACTCGCTTCCTCCGTCGAGAAGAAGCCTAAGCGTGTTACCACCTTCTCAGGGGTACACGTAAGAAAAATCAAGTTTTGCTTAAGATAGTCATCTTAACAAAACCTTACCCGCAACCAGCGGAAGAGCCTTAGTGCTTACGCTCAGATCTTCATCCGAGCGTCGGGCGCTCGTTTTACGAGTCCCCATGAGAGGTGGCGCCTTGGCCATATCCCTCGCAAAATCCCTGCCTTGTCAGAAGGGGTCACCCAGACCCGCTTCCTCCGTCGAGGAGAAGCCTAAGCGTGTTACCACCTTCTTAGGGGTACACATAAGAAAAATCAAGTTTTGCTTAAGATAGTCATCTTAACAAAACCTTTTACCCGCAACCAGCGGAAGAGCCGTAGTGCTTACGCTCAGATCTTCATCCGAGCGTCGGGCGCTCGTTTTACGAGTCCCCATGAGAGGTGGCGCCTTGGCCATATCCCTCGCAAAATTCCTGCCTTGTTAGAAGGGGTCACCCAGACCCGCTTCCTCCGTCGAGGAGAAGCCTAAGCGTGTTACCACCTTCTCAGGGGTACACGTAAGAAAAATCAAGTTTTGCTTAAGATAGTCATTTTAACAAAACCTTTTACCCGCAACCAGCGGAAGAGCCTTAGTGCTTACGCTCAAATCTTCATCCGAGCGTCGGGCGCTCGTTTTACGAGTCCCCATGAGAGGTGGCGCCTTGGCCATATCCCTCGCAAAATTCCTGCCTTGCCAGAAGGGGTTACCCAGACCCGCTTCCTCCGTCGAGGAGAAGCCTAAGAGTGTCACCTCCTTCTTAGGGGTACACGTAAGAAAAATCAAGTTTTGCTTAAGATAGTCATCTTAGCAAAACCTTTTACCCGCAACCAGCGGAAGAACCTTAGTGCTTACGCCCGGATCTTCATCCGAGCGTAGAGAGCTCATTTTACGAGTCCCCATGAGAGGTGGTGCCTTGGCCATATCCCTCGCGAAATTCCCTGCCTCGTCGGAAGGGGTCACCCAGACCCGCTTCCTCCGTTGAGGAGAAACCAAAACGCATCACCTCTTTTCAAAGAGGCTACGCGTAAGAAAAATGGGTGCCTTAAGACGCATTGAGGCTGAACCTGCATTATAAACAGGTGCAAGTATCATAGAGCGATAAACAAGGTAAGGAGCTTAGCAAAATCCAAGGAATGGCGTTCAAAAATACGAGGGGCAAAGCCTACCTATGTTGGTAGGCAAGAGCGCCTAAAGGATCGGAGGGGAGCTCTCGGTAACACCTGCAAAAGCAGTAAGATGAGAAAACTAGAAGGCGGCGCCTTCAATTGAAAAAACGCCTAGCAATAACGAAGGGCGACGCTTACTTGTTGATGCGTCTCAAAAGCACCTAACGAGCTGGAAGGGGAAACTCCCAACAAATAACAATTATGGAGAGGTAACTTTTGCAAAGGAAGCAGAAACAGTTAGAAACAAAAGCGCCGAGAGAAGGAAGAAGGGGAGGCGCCTGCCAGCAGGGGAGAGCAGGCGGCATCTTCAGCGGAAAACTACATAGCAGTATGATTGAGCCCGACGTTCGGAGGCGCCTCTGTTTCAAACAAAAGAAAGAGCGAATGTTCCCCTTCGAATAGCCGAGTTAAAACGTACCTAATCTACGGAGTGAGGCTCCCGACAGAAATGGTCAAAGCGAAAGGCCGCGATGAGAGCCTTCAAGGGGGGAGCGCCTAGGAGAAAGAAGGCGAAAGGTATCTACCGTTTAACAAGAAGCAAAGGCGCCTAGCGAAAAGTAAGGAAGGAGGCGCCCCCAATTGGAACGGAGCAGGCAAATCAGATCTGTCTTCATCCGTTTCAGAAACCAAAGCGCCTAAAAAAAGGGAGGTGGCGCCTTCGACCGAAAAAAGTGGCGAAACTCACCTCGATGCGTGGAAGAGCTTGACATTGAAAAAGTCTCACAAGAGGTGATTGGGCGTTCACCCATTAGCCTATCCTCGTTTTAAAACAAGTTTGACAAAGAAAAACAAGCAAAGAAGTGGGGGTGCCAGACATCCTACCACTGAAGGTCAAGCACTTCGCTGAAGGAGTGAGGTGTCAGGCGCCTTACCAAAGGTCAGGCACCCCGACAAAGGAGCGAGTCGCCAGACACCTCATTGAAGCGCCTGTACGCTCAAATAAACCAAAGCAAGTAATGTTAGACTTACAAGAGTAAGGTTCTAGGTTGTTAGTATCATACATAGACGAAGGAATGAGAAGCCAGGCGCCCCACTGAAGGTCAGACACCTCGCTAAAAGAGTGAGGTGTTAGGCGCTCAACCGAAGGTCAGACACCTCGGCAAAGGAGCATCTCCATGTGCCCCACTCAAGGTTAGGCGCCTTGCTGAAGGAGAGAGGGGCCAGGCGCCCCACTGAAGGTTAGGCACCTCGCTGAAGGAGTGTGGTGCTAGGCGCCTCGCTGAAGGTTAGGTGCCTCGGCAAATGAGCAAGTCACCATGTGCCCACTCAAGGTTAGGCGCCTGACTGAAGGAGTGAGGTGTCAGGCGCCCACTCAAGGTTAGGCACCTCGCTGAAGGAGTGTGGTGTCAGGCACCTCGCTGAAGGAGTGAGGTGACAGGCGCTCAACTGAATGTCAGACACCTATGTAAATGAGCGAGTCGCCAGGCACCTCACCGAAGGAGTGAGGTGTCAGGCACCCTATCAAATGTTAAACACCGCGACAAAGTAGCGAGTCGCCATGTACACCGCTGAAAGGTTAGGCACCTCGCTGAAGGAGTGTTGTGCCAGGCGCCTCGCTGAAGGAGTGAGGTGCCAGGTCAGGCACCTCGGCAAATGAGCAAGTCACCAGGCACCTCGTTGACTTTGGGTCTTAAGGCAACAAACGACAAGCTGTGTGACAAATGCTTAACAAAGACATAAGCGAAGGAGTGAGGCGCCAGGCACCCCACTGAAGGTCAGGCACCTCGCTAAGGAGTAAAATGTCAGGCGCCCAACTAAAGGTCAGACACATCGGCAAAGGAGCGAGTCGCCAAACACCTCGTTGAGTTTGGGTCTTAGGGAAACTAACGACAAGCTGGGTGACCAGTGCTTAGCCAAAGAATCGAAGCAAGCACTCTTCTAAAAGAGCACAAGCAATCGAAAGAAAAATGGAGCATCTTAGACAATGAATGGAAAGCATTTGAATATCAGTGGTATCTTTTGGCAAAAAGAAAAAAAAAATTGGAAAAGAGCGCTAGGCGCTCGTTTCAAATGGGCAAGGCACAATCAAAGGAAAACTGACAAGTTTGTTTCAACTTCATTTGATTGTCAAGATAGATTGAATACTCTAACACGAGCGTAGGCACATCCTCTAAGATGAAAGAGTAGTCACTTAGGAAATAATTGATGAAGAACGGAAGAATGCAAGCGTCAGGCGCTTGATAAAAGGAGCATGATTGCTTCTTTTGATAGTCTCCGTTACTTGAGACATGTGTTTATTCTTCCTCATTTTACTACACCTTATTTGGAAGCAAGCACACCCACACGGGTGCACAAGCGCTCAACAGATCAGAAGATCAATAAGGGAATGAAGCACCCACTTGAAAGGAAGAGCCTGGTGCCGATTAACTAAAGAAAGAGAGCTGGCACTTGATTGTGAAGACGAGAAAGCAAGGTTAGTGAAACTCACTTTATGTTGACGCCGCCATGATACTCATACCGACGTCAAAGGGGCAATTGATGGAGTATCCTAGTAACTAAGGAGGCAAAACTCTAGCTAATGGTATAAAGAAGGAAAGAAGACAAAAGAGCAAAAGGACAAGGCAAGGAGACAAAAGACAAGGCCAGGCACCTGACATCAGCAAGGACAAGGGGCAGGGGGACACCCTCTGTCAAAAAGTACCATGTACAGTGTCAGAAGGTCTGAGGCGCCCGACCACAACATTTATGGCTTGGCAGGCGCCCAGACCACTACCTAACCCTCAAATGTGTATAAATAGGAGTTCTCTCCTCATAAATGGCAATCTATCTACTCTTACTATTACTTCTCTCTACTTTCTCTCTCTATATACTTCTTCTCTTTTCTCACTTCTACTGAGGTGGGGCGCCTACCCCCTCAAAGTCATGGCTGACGCCCCAAACCCCTTGGATCCGAGTGACTCCCAGTCGCCCGGGCTCAAACAGAATCAATTTCTTAATCTGCTGGCTGAATTGCTGTTTTTTTTTGTAACACTTGGTAAATCGTTTAGTTTACTGAGTTTCTGAACTATAAGATGATTTTAAGGTAGCTAAAAACCACATCCTCTGCTTGTGATTTCTAAAGGATTTTAGATAACCGAAAATCACAGCTTCTGCTTGTGATTCCAGAATGGAAAAAAGTTGTTCTTGTTTGGAGTTGGAATTTAAGGTTATAGTATCGATAATGATTTGGAAAGAACAATTAGGAGGCTTTTATTGAGTTTATTAATTGAAAGGTTACAATAACCTAAGTCACAGCCACTGCTCATGACTAAACATAAACTTCAACTCTTAACAGCCTGCAATTATTTGGTTTCTTATGCTATGATTTTTGTGGGTCGATTGTAGGGTTAAGTTTTTCTACTTGTTAACATGCTTTTATATTGATTAGGTGTTAGATCAGAGATGAAATAGAGAGAATATTGTGTAAACAGACGTGATTTCTTCACTGTTATTCTGTTCTGCTTTATACACATGTACAGGAGGTTTGTTGAGAAGGGAAAGGAGAATATACAGGAAGGTGGAGTTGAGGTATCCGAATAAGAGGGATACAAACAGAAAAGAAATAAAAGAATTAATATTCTTTTTATCTAATACGCCCCCGCAAGATGGAGGAGGAGTCAACGACGCCAATCTTGGACCGTAGCAAATTAAATCGCGAGGCAGGCAACGGCTTAGTGAGGATGTCGACCAGTTGATGAGCAGTCGGAATATAGTGGACCTTGAGGCGGCCTGCCTAAACCAGTTGACGAACAAAGTGATAATCAAGGGCGAGATGCTTTAGGCATCACGTCGAGGCAGTGAAGTTCACGATTCCCGGCCCAGGTAATCATCACGATTCCTGGCCCAGTCCGAGTCAGCAAAGGCAGTGAGTCGCAAAGGCAGTGAAGTTCGA